TCTTGAGTTAAAATGGAATCCTTCGCTTTCTTGGCTCCTAAGTATTTATCATCAATAAATACATCACTTGCTGAATAACTGGTTGTCATGTTCTATACTAGCGGATCATAGAATATTTCATCTTTTCCTCTATTACCTGCAATTATTTCAGCTGATTGGATAATATTGCGAGTGTTAACTTTTTCTTGAGGCTTCTTAGCTTGGTGCGTGTTGAGAGTTACTTGCTCTTCATTAACCCGCAGTGTCAACTTTCCTTCCTGAATATCAATCAATGCTCTTCCAGTAGCCAGCAAAGGTCAACCAAGAATCAATGGTACTTTCTCATCCTCATCCATATCCAACACCGCAAAGTCCACTGAAAAGATGAACTTATTGAACTTTACTAATACATCTTCGATAATGCCCTTGGGATATGTAATTCATCTGTTTGCCAATTGCAAGGTGAGGGCTATGGGTTTCACTTTTCCAGGACCCACATTTTTGAACATTGATAAGGGCATAAAGTTAACGCTAGTTCCAAGGTCATGCTCTATCAAATGTGAGCCTCCAATATTGCAAAGAATGTTAAAACTTCCTGGATCTTTCAATTTCGGAGGAAACTTCTTTTCAAGAATGGCACTAAACTCTTCTGTCAACTTAACTATCTCAAACTCATCCAACTTGTTCTTCTTCTTTGACATCACTTACTTTAAAAACTTGGCATGTTGGGCAATTAGGCTAAGGCATCTACAAAAGGAATGTTGATGTGGATTTTCTTGAAGACCTCCAGGAAACTTGCAAACTATTCATCAATTTTCTTCCTCATAAATCTCTGTGGGAATGGTAGCTATGGCGTCAAGATAGGTGGGTTGTCTAGAAATGAGATTGAGTAATGCTTATGAATCTCTTTTGTTGCCTCTGCTTCAGTCTTTTGCTTTTCCTCTATAAGTATAGGATTTGGTGTAGACACTACAACCTTTTCAGGCTTGCTTTCTTCAACTTCTTTACCACTCCTTATGATGATAGTATTGCAGTGCTCCCTTGGGTTAACCTCTGTGTCACTAGGGAATTTTCCTTTCGTTGGGGCTATATTATAGTTGCTATTTACCAATTTGTGCCTCCAAATTCTTCACTGTGGCCCTAATGTTGGTAATTTGAGTCTTGATGCTGTCAAGTCATGCCTCATCTTTGTCAAACCTCAATTTGGTCTCCGAAATAAAGGTTTCCTATTTATCTTCCAGTGATGGCTTTCCTTCAGATGGCTGAGTATTGTATCAGGTGGACGCTGCAGTGCATTCGCATTGTTACCATATGAGAGGTTCTCATGGTTTCGCAGTCCTGGATGGTACTGGTTTACTCAGTAGTTTCCTCTCTGATTGAAGTTCTGCCATTTACATATTGGACTTGGTCATTTTCTGACTCAGATGCATAGTATGAAGTGGAGGTAGCCATGATGGAATTTGATTTTTTCTGAGTTCCCTGTGATGTCAATACAACTATTTAATTAGTGAAAGATGACGTTTGAGCTGCAAGGGCAGTAATGGGATCCACTTCATAAAGGCTAACAACTTTCTTTCCATTCGAAATTTTCAATCGGCCATTGAAAGCTATTAGTAGCTATCTCATCCAATAATGCATAGACCTTAGGGAAAAGAAAAATAGACGGAGTCGGATTGCATCTTCAGTAATGCCATTCATTTTCACTGTATCATGGATCTCCAAAAAAGAACCAGATGAGCATTTAGGTCTTCTGTTGGAGCTCTCCCAAACTGATTCTGCTCACCATGTGTATAAGTCTTGGCTTCAGTTCAAAATTGTTAGCATCAATAGCTGGGTGTGCAATACCGAAGTAATTTTCGTTGACATCTGGTTTGATGTAGTCCCTTATAGCCCGTTGTTGACCATTCTGATTGTTCTGATTCACCATTGGGGATCTTGTTCTGCCATTGCTTCATGGTTGTGTCTCTAATATCCCTTAGCAATCTCAAGGTTCGTTTTGGTTCAATATCAACAGGTAGTAGTCCAATGCTCCTTGATCTTCACATAAACCTAAAACAGGCGTCGCAAAACAATTAAAAGAAAAGAAATCTAAATTAAAATAGAAATTACTTGGTAATAATATTAGCAAAAATTAAATTATACAATCCTCGAACAAAAACTTGCCACACATTTTCCACAACGTGGTTTATATCGCAAGTGTACAGTGTCAAGTTTTGTAATATAATATAGAAGTTAAGAGTGTCGAAACCACAATGATTGTAATTTAATTCTCACTAAGTACTGTAATTAAATAATTTCTACTTTACTCAAATAAACGGATGATTGAATAGATGTTTTAAACTAATGTAATGTGATTCGTTGTGACAAAGTTGATGAATGTAATTTATCAATATGAGAAGGTCTAGGGGTTCATTTCACCCCACTCTCAATTATGATTCAATTATTCCAATTAATTTTCCCATATTTAAAAGCAAGAATCGTCATATAATTATCTTCCCTCTCTTGAGTGCCGGCTAGCAATTAATTATAGATTCCAATTCCAATATCTCTATTCCGAATTGAAAATCAAGAATTTACAAAAGTCTCGATTCTTTATGGAGTAAGCTTCACAAATTTTATACTTTCTCTTGAAACCCATAAAACTTATGTTGTGTCAATCTTATAATCACGCCTCAATTCCCCTCTCTCAAGTACTAGAATGAAATAGTATCTATTCATTCAATTATTGATCAAGTGATTAAAAGTATTAAAATCATGACACAATTAAATATATGCGGAAAAATCAAAAGAAATAATTATAAAATCATCAAACCATAATCTCAAGTCGGCTACATCAAACCCTAGATAAATTATTTTGTTCATGATGTAATATATGAAATTTATACAAATCGTAATAAACAACATGAGGAAAAGGATAGGAAAAACTACTGTTTTGGGTAGATCTTCAATCTTTTTCCTTGATGTTGTTCTTCCTTCCTTTTGGTTTCTTCAATTTTTTCTTCCTTCAAAATGTGTGGTTGAAATCTTCAATCTTACATGGTTGCCCCTTCAATTCTTTTAGAAAATAAGTCTTTTGAATGGTTTTTATAGTATCTTGAAGTTTTTGGACGAATTAGGGTTGAGTCGGGCCAAGAAAAGGATCCAAAATAAAATAAAAAACCATTTTTCGCACAGGCGATGCCTCGACTCCCAATATGGGCGTTACGGCACTGCATTCACTATTGTTTTTAGTGTGGTGGGCACTGTGATGGGCGCCGCGGTGCCCGCTTTCGGTGGAAAGACTGCACTGCGCATCTTTCAGCATTTTTTTAAAACTTCTTCGTCCAATGTTCGATTGAGACGATTCAAGATGTGCTAAAAAGATAACCCCAAGGGCTACAACTTTGCTTCATAATTGTTCTCCAATTTGATCATTTGATACGTCAAAAGTGGGTCTCAATATGAGACTAAAACCTCGGAGCATAACTTTTTCGGTTGAAAATTGATTTGTGATCATATTTTTACTAAATTTGATCCCTTTGATATCTTTCTTCATCCATTTGACTTATAACATTCTCAGATCTTCATTTCGAGGTTCAACACAAGTTTGATTATTTGTATTTTAGTCCCTGAACTTTGGATCTCTTATAATTTGGCCCTTTTCTCCAATTTCACCAACTTGTGCTTATTTCTTTCAATTTCATCAACTTACACCACAACATCAAAACACTCTAAAATACTTTCAAGGGTAGTAAAATAATAAGTAAGGTGGCATAAATATTATGAGTGTAGTGCACTCATCAATTATACTTAGCCATATTTTCTTACTTATGCAGTCAAGCTATATAACACATAAAAAAACAACAAAATTCTTAAGTTTTCTGTTGATCCGTCCTTGTTAACTTGATTTTATTTGTTTGTCAATAATTCTTCTAATATAAAATTATTTAGTTATTTTAGTTCTTGTAATTAAAGTGGGCCCAAAATTTGGACAATTTTATTTATTTATTTGTTTGAAAAATTCAATTTGAACTAACAGTCTATACCGACTAACCAAACCGAACCAAACCAATTCGGTTTGATTTAGGAGTTAGAGTGTGTTGGTTTTTGTTGACATTCAACCAAACCGACTAATTTGGTTTCGGTTTTGGTTTTGGGCTAGAGTCAAAACCAACGAAAACCAAACTGTGCCCATACCTACACACACCTACCCAAGAATTATAATTATTAAGGTGTCTCAACTTTTCCAATAATCAACTATGGGATTGCCCTTGCCATCAAATGTGCGAGTAGGTTGACTGCTTAAGGTTGATGGTTTTCTTCATATCCTAATGACCCAATTAGGTACGCAACAATCCAACATTCACCCTAGGTTTGTCAAGATCTTGTCGAAAGGATCGAAGGATGAATCCAGAGGTTTGAGAAGACCCATAGATTGCTTGATCCTTGAGAACCGTCATGATGGCTATGGGGTCCCCTATAGAATTTTCCTAAAGTACGTCATCGCAACCATTTCTCAATTAAGAAAAAAGGATCGGACTAACAACCCTAAGACGGCTAAACAGAAAGACAACATGCAAGTACCAAAAAAGGTTACATTGGGTACACAATCAAAGATATAACAGTGATATGGTAAATGACTTGCCAATAGAAGTTTGAACCAATCAGTGTGATGGTCGAAAGGTTAATGATATTGTTGAGTCAAATCTGTCTTAAATATTCTGTACTATCACAAACAAAGAATATGCAATATTTGAAACAAGTCGAAACTTCATCAATTTATTTCTCTTATACCTAATTTTTGAAATCAAATTTGAGTGTTACAGTGCAAACAAGTAAGACGGCCATGCTTTCTACAAAAGGTCTGGATTTAATGGGGGAGATAGCTAAAATGATCGTGCCGATTTAGAGTTGCAAAACAAGATAAACCAAACAGTTAACAAATTTTATATACTAAAACACGTTGTTGGATTTTAAGAAGAATACATTCTTGATTTTTTTGAAAGGCATTCTTGATTCCTATTGTACGATCCAATAGAATTGGTCGAATGAATTTGGCACACCAAATTAATCAATTTTTCCCTCCCAAAATTTGCACGTTTCCCTTGATGAGAACAGTAGGTGCTCTTTTCCATCTGGCTCTCCCTTTCCTCCTCCTCACTTTTCCACATCAAACTTTCTTCCCTCTGCAGCACAATTATACATATTATACGTATCCTAAAATCTAAATCTTGTTCGACATTCTAAAAATCATCATTTTTCAGTCTGATTCTGTACATATAGAAATTAGAAACCAAAAAAAAAAAAAAAATGCATGCAATAAAAGAGAGATTTTCGGAAACACTATCAAAAAATTTTTCGGACTCTCCATCATCTCAAATGCCAGATCAAAAACCTGAGGTAACCTTTTTCTGCTTTTTCTTTTATGGGTGTTAAAAATTATGTGAATATCAGATTGATTCCAAAGTTTGAATTGATTGTGAATTTTTTTTTATGATTTGGTAATTAATTAAAACTATTTTTTGTGTCTGATCTGTACAAAAATGGGGATTTGAGTTTTGGATACAATGTGTGTGTAAAGAAGTTTAATTTCGTGAATGCTTGAGAATGATTTTTAACTTATGATGTTAATCGAATTTATAATTTGATTTCATTTGGCATGCAAATAAATTTGATGAAAAGAGATCAGCTGGCATTTTACGGTTTCTGAATTTTAACTCCTTGTAAAGGACGTCGAAAGAAAAAAAATCTGTAACGGAAAATTAACAATCTCTTTTCCCTTTCTCGGCAGTGAGTAACGTTCATCTGCTTTTCATTTTTTTATTTTAGTATTATTATATATATTTTTTTTTTTTGAGTCAAAATAACATGGGTTTTGTAGTTGACTATTGTTGGTGAATTGGTTTTAAATTCATCCTGGAGGAGAAGAATTATGAGCC